AACATTCAACCGTATTATTTCTTTTAGTATGACGGATTAGGGACACGGGGGGGGGGGGGGGGTGAAGGAGGGGGTGAGGTGTGGTGGGGTAGGGGGGGGAGAGAGGCAGTCGCACTTACACATACACGGCACTTACACAGACAGCACTTACACAGGCATGACGTACGGCACTACACACGTTCGGACACGTTCGCACTTACACATACACCACTTACACATACACGTCGCACTTACACAGACCAGCACTTACACACACGTTCGCACTTACACAGTTCGCACTTACACAGACACGTTCGCACTTACACATACACTGTTACGTTACGCACAGCACAACCGTTTCGCACTTACAACAGCATGGTTCGCACTTACACATACACGTTCGCACTTACACACGACACGTTCGCACTACACATACACGTTCGCACTACACAGACACGTTCGCACTTACACAGACACGTTCGCACTTACACAGGCATGGACGCACGTGCCCCGAGAGCCCACTTCCTGTGTTCGAACGCGTGGCCGAGGTGAGGTGGCGAGGGCGGGTCACGTGTCGGGGTGGCTTTTCGAGATAGTTTTCTTCGGGTTGGGTTTCCTTTCCTTATTGGAGTCTTGGGCTTTGTTTTTGTTTTTGTTTTTTGTTTTGTTTTGTTTTTCGGTTCGTTGGGCTTTCTTGTTTTTGTTTTTTGTTTGTGTTTTTGTTTTTCGCGTAATATTTTCTTCGTTGTTGGGTTTTCTGTCTCTTTTTTTTTTTATTTTTTTTTTTCTTTCTCTTCTTTTCTCTTTCTTTCTTCGCTCTTTTTTGTTTCCTTTCTCTCTTCTTTCCCTCCCCCTTTTTCCTTCCCGTCTTCCTATCCTTCCCTATTCCCCTCCTCCGCCCCTTCCCCCTCCCCCTACTCCTCTCCCTCCTTCTCCTTCCCTCCTTCCCCTTCCCTCCCCTCCCTTCCCTCCCCTCCCCTCCCCTCCTTCTCCCCTCCCTCCTCCTCCCCTCCTCCCCACCTCCTCTCCTCTTCCCTCCCCTCCACCCCACTCGTAAGGCACCGGAACACCTCATTTGAATAAGATCGTTGTTTTATTCAAGAGCTAATGGAATTGCGGACAAACGACAGATGTTCCTATGTCTCAGAAAGGAAAGATAACAACCCTACCCCCACCCCGCGGTCGCTAAAGATAAATAAGGTAAGTGAAAGATGAGAGAGAGGGGGGGGAGAGAGAAAGAGGGAGAAGAGAGATGAGAGGGGGGGGAGAGAGAAAAGAGGGTAGAAAGAGAGGAGAGAGGGGGGGAGAGAGAAGAAGAGGGAGAAAGAGAGAGAAGAGGGAGAGAAGGAGAGAGAAGGAGGAGAGGAGAGAGAAGGATTAGAGCAGGGAGGAGAAGGAATAGGGAAGAGAAGGATAGAGAGGAGAGAGAGAGAGAGAGGAGAGAGATGAGGAGAGAGGAGAGAGAGAGAGAGAGAGAGAGAGAGAGAGAGAGAAGAGAGAGAGAGAGAGAGAGAGGAGAGGGAGAAGA